GTAACCCAGCCGTACCGGCTGGGTTACCAACCAATCATCATCGTCCATAAAATACAGCATACTTCGTATGCAATAACTATATATTATTCAGTAGCCTAATTTTTAATGAGGCGTGGAGTATAATTATTATTTATATGATTTATATATTCGCATAGACTATCTTATTTGGGGTCTCAAAACTAAAATTAAGAAATCTTATTTTTTCGACATAGCAAAAATGCTACGTATTTCCCCTATTATATACAAAAGTAATGTAATTTTTACATAATAAAATTCTTGAATGTGATCAAGTACTATAAGCGTTGCAAACGATAGTATTAAGCTAGTTTTCAGCGTGGCATGTGGCATTGATTATTCGTATACAGAACGAGAAAGAAAAAAAAAAATTATATGATGCTATGTAATGATCAAAAATGTCTTGTTAGCTTCTGCTAAAAATTATCTTTTTAAATGTCGTGGATCATAATGAAATCTGCAAAATTGACCCCCAAAACCCACTTATACTTGTTTATTACCCCGGACCCATAAAAAAGTGCCAAAAAATGTACCCAAAATTTGTATTTTTTGGTGGCTTATATATTTTAGACTATCACTCATTTCATTTTAAACGGATTCTATTCTAGTCCGCCACAATTCATAGCTAGGGTTGGAAAATTACAGTAATTTTACGTAAGTTTGTGTAAGTTTCTGAAATCAAAATTACATGTAATTTTTATCATGTAAATAATTTTGGCAAAAATTTTTATAAAATTGGCATTAAGAATAAATACAAATTACATTTCCTAACATAATGATGGATATCTATTAGTGCTGGTAAAACTTTTATAATGCCGGTACAATTATCATGTGACAATGCACTATTTAATGTAAGGTTACATTACAGTTTCGTAATTTACAATGTAATTTCATGTAACGTAAAAATGAAATTTTGCGTAATACAACCCTATTCATAGCCTAATCTTTCCATTGGAAAATGTAGTCCAGGTCTTTGTAAAGGTACCGTATACTCAAGATAATGGATATGTCGAATAATGGCTGGAATTAATTTATTTCAGGCTATACTTTGAAATTACGTTTGAGTGCCGCCCAGGCAAAATCTGTCATCGGGCTTTCAATTATATTTTGGCGTCAGACAAAATCTCTGACAAATCGGATAAATTGAGTCCGGTAAGATGACATGGCGGCAATCATCTCTGAACATTATTTCGCGGGTATACGGTATCAGGGTTAATACTTTGAAAGTGAGAGTTTGATATTGTAAGTTATCAATCCTGATGATCAAATGGCTGTATAGATGAAAGCGCGAATATGTATATTATAATAGAAAAATTCTTTACACGTAATTATAATGTAATCACATTTGCCAAAGTTCAAGAAGTATATTACATAAGAACTTGCCGAATAGAAGAGATGACACTATTATGATATTTGAAGTCAATATCCATTAATATGTATACGTGTTAAAGGTTATTTTTTAACGAGACATATCATGATAACATTTCATATTTATCGTTCTATATAAATATCACTTTAATTCCTTCATTTTTCAGTATTATTTCAACTTTCATTATGATTTTAGACGGATTCGGTCTTGAAATTCTTGTAAAAGGACGCCCTCTTCCTGAGATAGTTCAACCTATTACAACCTTAGATATACCTGTATGTTCAAATACTTATAATATTATATTGTCGCCTTCTAACGGTTCTATGTCGTTTCCTTTGCAAATAGACAACTACTGGACCTTCTTTCGTTTTTGAAGAAAGAAACAAAAAATGGAAAATAAGGCAAATATGTTACCATTTTTCGAACTTTCTTAAACCCCATATTTATCATATACTTTCATTTATTTTGCATATTTAGTGACTCTTTTGTCTGGGCAGAAGTTCCACACGCTGGAGTGCAGTTCTCTATTAGATTCTCCTCGACTAAAGCAACACCACATGACCCTATAATGGCTTTCATAGTTGTGGATGGTCAATTAGATTATCGATATATCGAGCTTTACAATTCTGGTGCCTATTTGAGAGATCACTTTGTGAGCGCTTACAGAGATTTCCGGTATTACTTCAAGTTTGACAAAACGATGTGGTCCGATGAATTCCATAAAGTCTATAGTGATCCTTCTCAAACGATATCATACGGTGGAATCGGTGCCATCTCAGTATACTTTTATCGAGCGACCCCAATTTTTGAGCTTGTTGGAGAGATTCCAAATTTCCAATTACATCAAAAGATTTTACCCGAGAGAAGGACGATGGCATCAATTGGACTTTCTACCAGTTTTCAACCTATGTGGGTTCCTGATAATATGATGCCTAACGTTAATTTTCTTAGGTATTAATTTGCAAATATCCTTTTTAATATCTAACAATTTCTATAGTAAATAAACCTAATGTCATGTAAATATATTAGACCAAGATCCAATTCTCCGATCGCAGTTCTTCACTTACATTATCGTCCTGCTTCATCAATAATTTTAACGTCAGGTGCTATGCTACCAGAAGTCAAGGTAACAAAGATCGATATTATTAATAACATGCGAGGCTATTTTCATGAGTGGTATAATGTGAATGAAACTGATAAATGTGTGCAAATCCGTTCAGGTGAAGCAAGAAATTATTGAAGATAGGAATTTACATTCTGAAGAATCTAGTAATGAAACTGATCCCGAACACGCTTCTAATTTAAAAAGAAATGATAAAACATCACCTACCTTGAAGGTTGATGATTTGCAAGAGCATTTCATAGAAGGGTATATTAAAGTGGAAGAGAATGCACAAAAATTTTTGGTAAATGGAAAAATCGAAGTCTCAAATTACGGTGGGCTTGCATCAATTACCAACTTGATTAATGATTATGGTAAGAATTTGAAATTTTTATTTCACATACTCGACTAATTTAATAATTTCATTTACAAATATATAGCAAGTGACACAATATCATCCCTAGATTCAATTCGAGTTGAAACACCAGAAACAGACACTACATTTAGTGATGAAAAAGTAGGGAAAATAAAACTCGAAGGTTCGAATTCGCCGGCACCAAAAACACATTGCAGACGTGAAAGACCTAAATCAAATAAAAGTCGGTACTTACGAGGAAAACGAGGAAATGGAGCCTTACGGAAACAAAAACATGGACGTTCTCGCTTTCATAATCGCAGATGGGATAAACCAGCTGAAAAGAAAGAATAATAATAAAGACTAAACAATTTATCAACGGTATTTTTTTTTTTAGCATTTATAGCTTACTAAGGTTTTGATAAATTTAAAAATTCAAAATTTATATAATAGGTTATTGCGAAAAACTTATCAAAGCTTACTTTTTGAATTTTATGCGTACATGAGAAATATGAATGTTTTTTTCTTCACCCAACATATAACGTTACTAATTCTACATAACAAACTATATCTTACAACTTTGTATCATAAATGTAATATGTACCACTTTTGTATTCTGTAAATATTGTTTCTTTTCTTATACTACAAAGTAATTTTGAAATTGATAGCTTTTATCATTCTTTCATGTTACGATAAAAAATTTCATTATTGCATTTTTTGTTCGTCTTATGTTGAGTCCCATTATTTTTTCACATAATTGTGTTTGATGGTAGGTCTGGAAGTGCATAATAGATTAGACGTTCATTTTGCTTTGAGGGTATTATTTAAAACAGATAACATACCTTCCATCTATCCATTCCATTCCTTGCCTACATGGAGCATAATTAAGATCTCTAATTTGATTTAAAAGGTTATTTGATGTATCTTTTGGAGTAAATAAATGGTTTAGAGATTTCGGAGAACAGCTTGAAAGGTGCTGTATAGATTGTAATTCGTTACTCGATGTAGATCCGTCAAGCGCATTATTATTAATTTCTATTGGAGTACTGAGTTTCCATTTTCCATGAAAACATCTTTTCCTAAAAAATGATTCATTGATATTCATGAAGAGAAGAAGATATTTCTTGTAGAAGTATTGCTTCTTTGATTTTATATGGATTTGTTTTCATATTTCATCCATACTTTAATTGAAAAAATGAATAAAATCGTCTAGCTTCGGACCAGTGTCTGAAATTGGGTTGCGGAGTCTGCGGACCGCAACAAAATTTTAAATTCCCGCAACCAAAATCTGAAGTGCACATGCAGATTCCGCATATAAATTTGCAAATTTTACCTATAAATTTTGATTAAATGTTCATGTGCGCAACTAAATTTTTATAAATTTTTATAATCCGCAAGTCGTTTTTTTAAATTGGTTGCAGCCCGCAACTAATTTAAAAATTGAATTTCAGACACTGCTTCGGACATTCGCTTGTTTGGTGCAGATGAGTGAACCCTTTTTTCTCCTGTTTATTTTCTGAAAAATATATTTAAGATTATACTAATAGTCATATAGGCAGTACATTAATACAAAGAAAAAAAAAATTCTTACCGCGGTCATTCTTTGATTTTCTCTATTTTTCCATGCTTTTGTTTGTCGGCAGGAGTGCTGAAGTGAGAGCTTTTTTCTGAATGGTCGAGAACCGTATTTGGTCTTTGAATATAGTTCAAAACAGAAATGTCAAATGCTTATTTTGTCTAATCAAAAGTAATGTTTGCTGTTCTTAATATCTATACTTCAAACTCTCGTAACTTGTTTCTTAACTTCTCATTATCATCCACAAATTCCTTAATCCATACTTTTATGAGATTCTGCTTGATTTCTGTTGATTTTGAAGTTCTCTATGATATTGGATAATTAAACCGGCAATAAGGGAAGCTGTCTTAACACTCCACATAAATAGTTCACTTTCTTCAAACTTTATCCGGTATTTGACATTGTCTATGATACTTTATAAATTGACAGTTTCTCCGTCTGTTAAGCCTCCATAAAATATAGTGTTACGGGGTGAATCGTACATTCAATAATCTATATTCTAAAATATAGACCTTATGCTATAAGGCAACTCGCCAGAAGCGTGACATTTGGTGATTTAGGTCATATAATAAAGGAGGAATTATTATCAAGTTAGTGAGCTTATGTGCCCCTACCTCGCACATAATTGTCGTAACCAACCTTAACTAAATTGCGTCCTTTATATAACTTTAAAGGACTAATGAGGCTTAAACATAGCTTACCTTATTTTATAGTGGCGTATATTTATCACAACCTTCAGAGTTAAATTACGAACCAGTTTGTCTATGATGTCACTTTTACCCGTGATAATAGCAAATAGCAAATGTTTGTCCGGCGAAAGATATTTTACCAACAGTCCTTCCTTCCATTAATTTTGAGCCATCAGTCAGGCCATTTTTAACTTCCCATTTTGTCAAATCAAGAGAATTATTGGTGACCAGCATAAATCTGATCGTTAATTAGGTCATCACGAATTTTTAAAATTGTATTGTTTCTCTACTAAATTTTTACAAAACGGTTGGTATTTTTTTATTTCATTTGATCCTTTTATAGAAGCATGCGAATATTTATTAAACATTAAAGCACCAACTATAGTTAGACGAAACCTCGAGGTTTCGCGCTGACGAAACGCGAAACCTAGTTTCGTCTTTCATCTTAAATGACGAAACTGGCGAAAGGTGACGAAACTGACGAAACTGTAAAGCGTGAAAACTAATAAAAAGACGAATATACAAATAAATGTTGAAAATCTATGTGTATAAAAAAACAAACTAACAAAAATTTTATTGTATAATAGACGCTTGAATTGTTTAAAGGGAATTAGAAATAAGTATTCTATATTGTATTATACCAGTACACTACACATCAGTTCTGGTGAGAAAATCGCTTGGTGCTTACTTTGTGATCTTACAACTTTATTTTGTTCCATTATGTTTTAATTCATTATTTGTGTTATTCCATTAGTACTATGGCTTTTTGGCAAGGTTATTATGAATATCAATGAAAATAACATTTGTTTATTTTTTTAGCGAGAGCATTAAGGTTTCGTCTTTTTGAGCATAAGGTTTCATTTTAAGGTTTCGTCATTCGTCATTATGCAAAACGGTTTCGTCTAACAACTATAGCACCAACACGTTTAATGGATTTAGTTTCTTTTTCCATTCCCATAAAGAAACAATACAATTATCTGTATATAGGTGAAGATTTTGTTGAATTTCCTGTTTCGTAATTAGACAACAAAACCTTCAATCTTTCAACTTCGTCTTCTCTAGGACCTTTATGAAATTAAGATATGAGCCAAAATACAACTATATTATGTAATATTTCATTATGCTCTTTCTTTTATAGCTTTCTTACCGATAGTACTCGGCAGCCCGACTATTATATGAATTGTTTCCTTGGGGATTTCTCCGGAAAAGACAGAGCTAATTTTTTTTTAAGGGTGTCAATCTTTGAACACCTATTTCTTCACTATTTTCTAATGTCACCGCTATATTTTCGTCAAAAGGGACGTTTACTTTCCATAAAGGTCGTTTGCCTTTATTTTGTTAGGGAAATTAATTTTCCCTTCAATAATCTCTGACAGTCATTTCATCATCATTGATATCTACATCAATCAGAAAAGAATGATGACACTCTGATCATGACAGGCAATTTAGTTCACAGACAAGATTATTTTACAAGACGATTAATTCATAGACAAGTTTATTTCGTAGGCAGTTTATTTCACTGATAGCCTATTTTATAAACAGTTATTAAGATTCATAAAAAAAAACTTGTCTTGAAAATGAACTGTCGGCGAATAAGCTGTCTATGAAATGTACTTGTCTGTGAATTAAATTTTAAAACAATCTTTCCTAAAGTGATTATCGGTGAAATAATACGGATCACTATCAGTCTTTTGTTTTCATCTAGATTCAATGTTCTTTGTTTTGGACTTATAGTAATATATATTAAGATGACATGTGTGAGTAAAATCCTTTATTATAGGAGTTAGCAGATTCAATACAATATCCCAAGAACTATTATCATAGCTCAACATCCAAATACTGAACTTCCTAAAAGTGATTCTGTCACGTAAACCTAATGGCTTATAATATTTATAAAATTTTGCTTAAGCACCATATATCCCTATAACTGTAGCGCGGGTTGGTGATGTAATGGCATGGGGTTCTGTGGCATAGATCAAATCCGTAAAAGTTCGATTTAGTACGATTTGTTGGCCTGTGTTAAGCCATATATCGGTGCCTATTGGGTCGTAATGGCTCTGGTTTTGCAATATTTTATTTGCAATGTTACTAGTCCAGTTGGCACAATTATATACAGTATTCACGAATCTTTCTCATATTTAATATGCTATCTATGTACCAATTGTTTCATGTCATTCATTATTAACAATGTGAATAAACGTATCATTATATAAAGCGTGCGCCATTCCGTGCTTTTCCGACAGACCCATGCCATGTATCATATTACTTTTTCATAGGACATATTAGTTCAACAGAATCCTAATATCTTAGCATCGCGATAATTCAAAACTACAATTCATAAATTGTTGTAATTGCATATTATTAAATTACAAATTTTGCGATTTTAAAATTGTCAGAATTTTGATTATTGCAATGATAAACTCCTGAAATTATTGATTCGTACTTCGAAATCGTAATTTTCGGGATTCTAGATATAAAGTGAATCTGCAAATCTCAATAGAAGAACTTTATAGTAACATGTGCACATTCTAGAGGCTAAAAGTAATAGGTGTGACAATTATAAATTAACGTGATTGTTGATAAAAGGAGTATGAAATTATTCAAAAATTTATTAAGCATGCTTGTATAAACGTTTTTTCTTCCGTTACATCCAAAGTAGTAGACAACTTATCCTCCACCGCTTTCAAATGTTCTTCCATTCGTTCCTCCATTCTTTCAAATCTATTCATCAGTTGATCAGAATGATACATGAGCTTTCCCTGACTATCTAATTTCTGCCGAGGCACTATTAAGGGCACAACACAAAAGTTTCAGACAACATTAAAGGCCAGGCAGCGCAAAGTGCCAGATACATTACAGACACTGCCAGCACAAAGTGTCAGGCACAAAATACTGATTTTTGTGCTTGTGTCTAACCCATGCTAAATTTTTGTGCCTAGTGCTCGGCAAAATCAAACAAAAACTCGATTATCGAGTTTTTGAATCTATCAATTTACAATATTGTGCATTAAATACAAGTTTTGTTTTTATTATATATATAAATTTAACAGGAATTCGATCTTACTTTAGACTTCATGATAACTAGCATGAAGTTTAAAGTCAGATTAGAGTAAACATAGATTTTAGGGGAATTTACAAATAAGTGCCCAAAAAAGTAAAATAATTACATGTAAGTGCCCTATTTTAGAAAAATTTACTATATCTTATGATACAGTGAACGAAATTTAATGGTTTGGATACCCAGAACGAATGGTACTAAAATTACTAAATTTAAATTACTGGATAATGAGATATCACGATTTAAACAGATTTTAGAAAATGTTGAATAACTAGTAATCCAGTAATTTAAATTTGGCAATTTTGTTACCATCCGATCCGTCTTGACGAGACGATTCGAATGGTATCCAAACCATTAAATTTCGTTCACTGTATCATGAGATA